AAAAAACCAAGATCCACTATGATTTGGATGTGAATTTTCAAGTTGAGCATTGGAAATTGAAGAACCAGCATCAGATAGTTTGATAATAAGTTAATTTAGGTGAGGTTACGTATCTGGATAATCGGTTTTCATAATCTGTTTACCAAACATTCAGCCGACAACAATTAGTTCTTAAATTATTCTCCACATATGTTAATTCGACCACAATTGTTAAGATTTGTTGTTGAAGATTAATCAGATCAGGATAACAAAACATTCTTATCCTTTTATTTCTTTATTTGCGAGATGAAGGGAATCAAATTGGGGTCGACGTTTTTGATAGAATCGGCAGATTTAAAATTGCAATTCGATCGAGTCTACTAACGATAACATAAATTGTTTGATTAATTTCAATTTCAAACATCCAATTAGCCCAGTAATAGATTATTATTCACTTCTAGGTACAGCTCAACCGACGATAAACAAAACCTAATCAGAATCATATAACAACAAAGAATTTTACCTCAATTTTAGAAACATTTGATGTGGTTGTGGTTGTGGTTGTGGACGAAAATTTATGCTTTGAATCAATCGATTGCTTGGTTGAGCTTCCACTAACAACTTTGTTCTTGATAACAGATGGATCGAATTTAGTTTTAGCTGATGATCCATCTCGAATTCCGCTACTGGATTTCATCTTAACCAGATTATAGTTTCTTTCTGCGGACATTTTGATCGGAAATTAACCTCTTCTGACCTGATCAAAACCTCAACTTCGCTGTGGTCTGGATCGTTAAATTATTGAATGCGAGATCTCGTTCTCTGTCTCTCTCTCATGCTATTTTGATGTGTATAATCTGATCGTTTAGAAGTTACGAACCTGTGGAGAGAAAGGGTGGTGGGGTGTTGATAGAAAGGTGAAAAAGGTGATTCGATGAAGATCTGTCTAGTTTTTACCACTTCGGTTGTTTTTCTTTTTAAAGAAAATCCAAAAAAACAAAAAAAAAAAAAAAAAATCTTTATATTTTGGTTTTATAAAAAAAGTTATTTATTTATTTATTTATTTTCAAATTGACTATTAAAACCGACAAACCCTTGCAAAATAATCCTTGTAACTCGTTAGTGCCGGTTTTAAGGGTTAAAAAAAAATCGTAAATGAGGTTAAAGTTCAGGGATTATTTGGAGATTTTTTTGTATATACTATATTTATTTGAAGAAAACTTATATTTATTTATAAAAAATTCAAAATAATAATAATTTTTATTAAAAAAACACAATAATTATAATTTATATATCATTTTTAGAATTTTTTTTGTGATTTTCTTTAATAAATATTATTACTACAATCATAAAGATACCACTTATATCTTATATAACTTACGAGGACTTTGTTGATTTGTTGCAAGAAGTGTATTTCTAGGCTAAATGTTACTTTATTGTTTTAGGTTTTGGGTGTAAAACATTTATCATAAAACTACAACTTACAGAAGATCCTTTTACAATCCAACGACAACTCAGAAAATAAAAATTTATAAGAGGTTGTTATTCCTATATAGAGCTTCATTATATATGTTTTTTCTTTTTTAAAGAGATTCATTATACATGTTATGTAACCTAGAAACGCATTTGTCAAAAAAATACATTTCAACTTTTTTTATCAGGTTTTGCACATTCTTAACTGGTTACCATTGCCATAAAATCCCTCATTTACACATCACCACCACTACCCTTTTGCCAACAACACCATCTTCACCATAAAACATCGGTAGCCCCTATCAGCACCATCTATGACCTACCTTCTTATTCTTCATCTCCGACACACCACCGTCACCATCGTTCACCAACTGTTCTTTCTCTTTACAACCTGATAAAAAGCCCAAAATGACAAAACTTTACCTAAATGTGAGACGTATATGAACACAAAGTTGGGCTTAGAACATAACCTCACATTTCATGTAAATATGAAGGCTTTTATGACAATAACTTTAATATAAGAGGTACAATAATTATAAAAACACATGTTAAATGCAATTAAATGGAATTTTGTTGATTTATCGGAAGGAGTGCATTTCTAAGTCACATATATCATGGAGCTCTATTTTAGAATTGTATTTAGATTATATCTTTATAAGTATAGTAATGATATTTATTAAAAAGAATCACAAAAAATCCCAAAAAATGATATATAAATTATCATTATTGTGTTTTTTAATAATAAAAAATATATGAGTTTTTTTAGTGAAAAGGATGTAGATGGTATCTTGATTTTATGTTTTTAATAAATAAATAAAAGATTTCTTCAAATAAATTTAGTATATATAAAAAGGAAAATCTCTAGAAAAGTTTTTAAACTTTAACCTTAATGAAAAGTCGTCTTTTTTTTTTCTTTTTTTTTTATTTTATAATTTAACCCTTAAAACTAACGCTAACCAATAACAATGGTTGTTTTGCAAGTGTTTATCGGTTTCAAAGGTTAAAAAAAGTAAGGGGTGTAGGGTTGACTTTTTTTTGTCAATAGAGCCAAAGTATAATAAGTTTTTTTTTTTAAGATTTCCTAATGAAATACCACAACAGTCACTAAGGTAGTGTTTGTTTTTTGTCTGCAGATCTGCGAGACGTCTTCTGTCTGCGCCGCGCAAACCACGCGCAGACATTAGTCTTCGCAGACTGTTTGTTTTTTTGAAGACTGCAGACCTAAAAATGTCTGCGCGCCCTCTTCTTGGCGCAGATGTGGACCAGAGTCTTCTAACATCTTCAGACATCTTCTAGCTTAAAAAAACATATATATCTTTATTTTTTTAAGTTTTTTTTTTTAATTTATATTTTTTCCAACTTTATTAATGATAAACAATATGAAAAAAAAATTACAAAACTTAAAAAAAAAAACATTTGACGATACAAACATGATATTTTTAACAAATTTATAAATAAAAATTTATTATAATAATAGTCGTTGAAGTTGTTTATATAAATATGAAAAAAAAAATCATAATATATTCTTATATTTTTTTGCCAAAATTTTGTAAAACTTTATTTAATAGAGTATCATCAATTTCTTGAGAAAATATTTATCGTACGTTTTTAATAGATTTATTTGAAAAAAATCGAAGTTTATTTCCATCTATTTATGTATCAAATTCTTTGATCACTAATTATAATGTTTAGTTATAACTTTGCAATCAAAGTTGTTGGTTTTTATCAAATATGTATATGAATTAATACCATTTTTATTTTTATTTTTTATATAATAATACATAAAAGTTTGATCTAGATTCGTTATATATTTATAATAAAGTCGTAAAAATATATAAAAAATTCGCTTTGAAGTTTTAAAAAATCAGTTTATTTAGATTTCAGTTTATTTTAATAGCCCGCAGATGTTAAAAAAACAAACAGTCTTCTTTTTTTAGACTGCAGATGTTTGGTCCACCTCTTCTACTGCAGAGGTCTACAGATGTGATCCGCAGACTGCAGACATTTTGCCTCAGAAAAAACAAATAACACCTAAGTTTACATGAAAATTCGATTTTGACACTTTTTTTTTGTCTCAAATTAGACACTGCAATCTCAATTTGTTATAATTCTGACCACTTGACCGTTCAACCTAGTTGTCTACTGATTTGGCATGATGACGTGTCAGTTATGATGACGTGACACTCTGGCATGACATGCGGACGTGTCGAAATTGAAAAATATACACAAAAGATTATAAGTTTTCACTAATGCTAGCAAAAATCAACACAACCCGTCTAACTCATTTAATTAAATAGGTTGGGTTGGGTAAAAATTATCAACCCGTTTTCAATCCACCAACTCATTTAACTTTAATTTATATTTAATTTAATAATTATTTAAATATTATCATGTATTAATTTAAGTACTAGTCACTCTAAAAAATCACTTAGAAATTACATATATTTAATATTATTTGAAGAATTTCTTTGTATACGTGACTTGAGATTATCCTTTTATCATACTTTGGAATTTTATTTATATGTATAACTAATTTAAATGGTGTAATCTTTAGTTAATTAATTAATTTATTTTTATTTTAAATGGATCAATCCAAAATTAACCAATTTATTTAATAAGATGGCTTAGGAACTATATAAACGGGTTAACTTGGTGACAACCTATTTATTTGAAAGGTTTGTTTGGGTTGGAAATATCAACCTATTTAAATAAATAGGTTTGGTTGGGTTGAAATTTTCAAATCAATTAATAAATTGGCTGAATCCGAATCCAACCCAGATCGATTATTGCCAACTCTAGTTTTCACTTTTTAAAATTTGACACTGAGTTTTTTTTTCAGTTTTGAAAAAAATTACACAAATAATTGAACATTTCAAAAAAATCACACTAAATCGATCATCATTTTTACCAATTTTGTTCACTATTGACCATTTTTCATTTTAAACCATATAAATAAGTTTTTCTCATTTAAAATCGTATAAATACATTTTTCTTATTTAAAAAACCATATTTTTTTGTATAAATACAAGGGTTTTTACATTCAAATCATTATTTTATGTTTAAATATATATTAGTTATATTGTAATCGTATTTTTAATTAAATACACAACTTTAAAATAAGTTTGGCTATGTGAAATGCATAGTCAGATAAGCCAATGATCTTAGGAACACGAAGGTCTGGGAGTCACTTTAATTAAATACACAATAATTTTTTTTTCATATGAACTCAGATTTTAACGATCTTTATATCCCCGCATTTTTATTTGAGTCGATACAACTTTCATTTAGATTACTCCTGTTAAAAAATAATTTATTTTTACTTATGATCTATAAATTCATGTGTTCTTTGTAAATGTATGTATTAACATTTTTTTTATCAACAGTCCAACAAATCATGAATATCGTGCGATATGAATATCGTAAGTAAAAATATATTATTTTAGATTATTCCAATTATTATCGTTAAAAAGTAATATATTTTTACTTGTATTTTTATACAAAAATGTCCATACATATATTCATAAAGTACATATATTCATAAAGAACGTGAGGATATAAAATTCATAAGTAAAAATATATTAGTTTTTTAATAGAGATAATCTAAACGAAAATTATAGTAAACTTAAATACAAACGTATGAATATAAAAATCGTTAAAATCTAAGATCGTATAAAAAAGTTACAACGTTTGAAACATAAAGCTTAAACCAAACCACAAGACCTAAGTAACCAAACAGACGAAACTGAGACGGCCATTAGTATCAACATTCTTGAACTCCTCATTATTGATTGTTGATGGAAAAATATGATCATAAGAACTCACTGAATGTATACAATATAAATATGTTGAATGGATAAAAGTAGACGGACAAAAAATCTAACTAAGTATATATACAAATCGAAACACATTTTTAAATCATTATCTCTTTTCTTTTACACATTTGGTCCACAAATTCGTTTTTACAATCTACCCGTATCTTTTTCACTCAACTTTGTTTTTATATATTTTAATCTTTAATTGTTTTTATAAATTTTGTTCACTCGTTTTTATAGATTTTTCCCATCTTGTTTTTCAACTTATGTTTTTTAAAAATTTAGTAATGTTTTTTTAAGTCTCTGCGCTTAGAGCAACTTATTTTACTTCTTTTTTTACACTTTGTTTTTTATAAACTTGTTTTGAACAATTTTAATATAAATTAATGAACCACTCTTACATTCCAACTCTTTTTATTAGTTACTTTTTAGAAAAATACTTTTTCTCAATTTGCACATCTTTTACAACATTTTTCAACGAATTTATTTTCATAAAATTACTTTCAACTTCTTTCACATTTGTCATTTCTATGCATGTTTTATTTTTTAAATTTTCCCATTTCACAAACCACTGAAACTAGGAACAATCTGTTTTGTTATTTTTCAGAGACCAAAAGTGCATTCTTATTTCTAATTAAAACATAATCCTACTGTTACGAATTACATATTCACAAAATTTCTTTGCAATTGCGTGGTCCTTTCTCAAACATTTATCACCGAATAACCACTCACTCACGTTACAAAATGCATGGGCCCCCATTTCATATTTTAAATATTTGTTCAGAATACCACTCATTTAGGGGATATGAATGAGCTTTTACGCCTAACACCATTAAATTAAAATATTAGGATGTTAATAACGTTGATATTTTTTTATATTGGTCACAACAGAACTCACTAACCTATCTACTTGTCGCCTGCTTCTATGGGTGTAAACGAGCTTGAACTACATGTGAGCTACTCGGGATTGGCTCATTAAAAGCTCGGCTCGAGCAAGCCAGGCTCATTTATTAAACCAGCTAAATCCCGAGCTCGAGATCGGCTCGGCTCAGCTTGTTTACACCGCTTCACTAGATTTGCTTCACTATTCAACTTTATAGTTACAGACGAATAAAAAAATCAAACCCTAATTTCACCAGTTGACTATAAAATGGGTTACAACAATTTTTAAAGGTTGTAAAAAAAGAAAGACAGGAAATTCACCTGTGCTGCTTGTGTTTTTACTTTGTACACGTGGCCAGCCAACTTCACAAGCAACTGCAATATTGTGTCATATTTTACCATATGATCATTGATCATGATCATGATATGATATAACCATTCGCTTTTTTTTTTTGTGCTTCATTCAACGAATTTCATTCATGATCAACACAGATTTTAAAGCTTTCCATTGATTCAGCAGTAGGAGTAATTAAAACGATATATAACCAAATCTTCCAACCCTTTGCCTTGCATTCTGCTACTTCTACTTAAGTATTAAAAAAAATATCAGCATCACAATTGCTTGATTATATGCATATCATATATTCCAAATTATTTAATTGCCAAATAAGAAATTACCTTAAAATCTCGCATCACAATTGCTTTCCAACAAACCCACAACCATAAATGTACAAAATCCACCATCTTGCACCAAAATCCATTTAACATGTATTTTATACAACAAGCTGAATAATAAAGATAATACAAAATCATAAGCATTTTATCATTAAAAAAAAGGTAATAATAATAAATAACCATTTGGTCAAAGTTTCAAAAACTTTAAGTACCTGATACGGGTTAGGGCATACACATTCGCAACAACTCTGGTACCTATGTTAAAACTCACACAATAAACATCAAGAGACTCTGATTTAAATAAAAAAAAATAAAAATATAAAGAAACTTGATCCTGAATATAAATGAAACGCCAACAAATACAAAGGCAACCAAAATATCTACTTTAATAGAAGGAAAAAAAAATTATAAAATGCTATACAACAATATCCAGATGTGAGTAAACAAAAAAAAAAAGAAAAAAAAAAACTAATAAACTATTTATCATATTCATAACAATCAAACCTTAAACTGGAACAAGAAATTACATGTGAAGTGATCCTGAGCAGATGCATCCAAATTCCAAGCAATTAACTTTTTTTTTTTTTAAATTTCCAATTCAAGTAAAATCCAGATCCTGTTCTCGTTACCGATTACGGTGTAAGGATCGGATCCAACTAGTCGACCCGCGGGTCGTTTTTGTCGGGTCAATTGGTTCATCCGGTTTAACAAAGTTGCCACCCATTGAGAATGAGGTAGACGCCTTTGGTGTAGGACTGGTCAACTGCAAAAGTCAACAAAGGGCAAAATCGTCATTCGACCACAATACATGAAAACCAAAAAAAAGGAGATTCCGTGTATTTAATTAAGGAGACTCACGTGTTTCCCGAGTGAAATATTTTCATTAGGACGAGTCATCATCATATTGCTTGATCTTCTGCGATCTGTTGCTCCAATTTGATAGGAATCATCATTTACCCCTAACATTAAAAAAAAAATAAATTAAAAATTATTTAATTATAAGCAAAGTTTATCTGTTTATTAACTACCATTTCCCTACTTTTTTTACATTAAACGACGTTTATGCCCCTATAGAAATTGTGGATCGTTGCTACGCTAATTGTTATACACTAGTTGTCACACGATGTTTACTACAAAATTCTTGTTAAATTCTCTAGACAATGGAATCAATTTGTAACAAAAAAATACATGAAAATTACATTTTAATGAAATTTCCTAAATACCTTGGCGCTTATTTGAATGAACTGGCATTGGTCTGTTAATCACACCAGGAACTGCTCGACTCTGACATTATTAATCACATTATAAATCAATAAATAATTATTCAATATTCATAAAAGTGAATGGAAATGCTATTAGAATTGTAAAGAACAAAAGGTAATGAAAACACTAACAGTTGAATGATTCTGTGGTTTATTCTTTTCTGATTGCTGATGCTTTAAGATTGTCCAATCGAATACGTAATCAAAATCAAATCCTGAAATATCAAGATTTAAACATCAGATACAATGTTATACAGATTTTATAAATGTGGTTAAATTTATATAATATTGTATTATATAAATAAAGGGTATACCTTCTCGCGTAAATAAGTCACGAAAAAGGCGCTTCAAGAATCCATAATCAGGTCTTTGATCAAATGTTAAAGATCTGCAATATTGGAAGTAAGAGGCAAACTCCACATGATGATTCTTGCATAAAACCTGCCAAATAAATTGAAAATGATTTTCATAGTCCACTAAAACAATTTAAATATGACTGTTATTTTAGCAGTAAAAAAGAAAGTTATATTTTGTATATTGTTTCATGAATACCTCAATAGGAGTCGATACTTTCTTTTCACATATTTTGTCATATTTTTGCTTCTTTGTTGCACCTTTTAGTCCCTGCCATGGAAGACTGCAAAAATAATAATAATAATAAAAAACAAAAAACAAAAAACTCTAATTTTTTTTAGATTTCACAACATAGGCATTTAATCACATACCTTCCTCTC